TATGTTAGATTAGGTTAGGGTAGGTTAGGGTAGGTTAGGTTAGGTTAGGGTAGGTTAGGTTAGGTTAGGTTAGGCAGGCTAGGTTTAATCAAATTTATATTTTAATATTTGGCTCAAATAACACAAAATTGCAATGATGTTTAATACACTGAAAATTTCATCATATCCTAGGGATATAATTTGGAAAAATTTAATATTTAACGAAAATTCGGTTTGTTAGGCAACTCTGGCTATTAGGTATATATATATATATATATATATATATATATATATATATATATATATATATATATATATATATATATATATATATATTTGTAATATGTAATACATCAATTTTAAGAGGGTGCTACCGCCATATATTTCTGGTCAGATGACGGTGAAGGGGAAGCATAAGTGCGTGAGAGATGTTGAGGTGGGCTGACAGACACCGGAGTTGAGCCTCAGAGTTTGGGGGTTGGGTACAAGGAACAACATCAAGAGCTAAGACATTCGAGTAGAGGTGGCCACCTTTCCTCCTGCGTCGTCCGCTCAGGCGACCCATGGCTGCAACAGACGAGGGCCAACGCCCACACAAACGTACGATTACTACTTTAGCTCCTCACTTGTTCTTGCTACCTAAAAAAAACTGTCTCTCTAGAACATATAAGAACAAAGGAAACTTAGGAAGGTTTATTGGCTACTCCGAAGCAGTTGCTGTTTGTACCAAACTCAACTCACTCATATGGGTCATTTCATGTGAATTCACCAAACCCCCCCCCCCCACTTGACCCTTTCTAAATCTAATGAAATTTTGTTATAAAATAGCCCTAGACCCCAAATGACATTGTGCACAATATTAGAGCTCAATCTGCTTTGGTTCTTAAATAATTGGTTCATATTCAATGGGCTCTCGTCCCGTTAATGCGAACATATCATAAAAGGGCCAACTTTGGCCCTTTATCAAATCACGTCTAGTGCCCCAGAGTGTCATTTTCAGAGTCCTCTGACTGAACTAGGAATTCAGATCCCATCCTAAATAAAAGTTACTCTTGTTCAGAAAAATCTGCTCTATCCAATGGTGTTATTCAAAACTAAATTGGGAATGACGCATATTGAGATATTTTGCCTTGAAAGTTGGCTAGTTTTGCACATAAATTTTTTTTGACCAACTTTCAAGTGGCCACCTCTGGACATATGGATACAACAGAGTTGCTATTGCATCACTGCATAATATTGTGCTTCTTATACATCGTTGCAAAAGATCATGGCGTTTAGACCTTTTGGTGATGAGTAAGTGGTCTCCAAATTGGGGTCCAAATTTCTCGCGACCAAATTTGGCAATGATTTTAGCATGGATGGATAGTTGAATGACCACCCACACTGCTTTTTTGATTACACTACGTTATTCTACACCAAAAGTTGTCCTGGTATGTCACATCTCACACTCCTACAGGCAATAGAAGTGATATAACATAGGGTCAAAGTTGGCCATTTTTGTGGTACTTGCGCATTAACGGGACGAGAGCCCATTGAATATGGACCTGTTATTTAAGAACCAAAGCAGATTGAGCTCTAATATTGTGCACAATGTCATTTGGGGTCTAGGGCTATCTTACTACAAAATTTCATGGCATTTGGAGAGGGTCGAGTGGGAGCCATGGGTGACGTTTTGATGATTTGAGATAAAATGGCCCATATGGAATCTTCGCTTGGAACAGTCTAGCGACCCCAAGTTTGTTACGTTAGTCGGTAAGTTGTTCCATGGATCCACAACTCTGCTTCCAATCTGATGTTTACACAGATATTTCCTCAGTCTAAGTTTATCCAATTTGTATCTTATGTTCTATTTTGAGTTGATAAATTTAAAACTTTATTTATGTCGCCTTTCTTAGACTCATCCATTTACATAATTCAGTCAAGTTACCCCTAAATTCGCCGTCTTAGACAATGTAATTTAATCTTATCTAATCTCTATAATAATAGAGGTTTCTAGTTCCTGGAATTAGCATCGTCATCTTTAGCTGTGCTCGGTCAAGGTAGTTTGTCTTCTTTTGAACAGAGACCAAAACTGACCTGTATAACCCAAATGGAGACATAAGATAAAATAAAGGTGAATATCATTAGAGATTTGGTTTGATGGATATGTGTAAGATCTGTCACCCGTGGGAGGGTTGTTCAAGACACCACACAACCGTGGGAGGGTTGTTCAAGACCCCACACAACCGTGGGAGGGTTGTTCAAGACACCACACAACCGTGGGAGGGTTGTTCAAGACCCCACACAACCGTGGGAGGGTTGTTCAAGACCCCACACAACCGTGGGAGGGTTGTTCAAGACACCACACAACCGTGGGAGGGTTGTTCAAGACACCACACAACCGTGGGAGGGTTGTTCAAGACACCACACAACCGTGGGAGGGTTGTTCAAGACACCACACAACCGTGGGAGGGTTGTTCAAGACCCCACACAACCGTGGGAGGGTTGTTCAAGACCCCACACAACCGTGGGAGGGTTGTTCATGACCCCACACAACCGTGGGAGGGTTGTTCAAGACCCCACACAACCGTGGGAGGGTTGTTCATGACCCCACACAACCGTGGGAGGGTTGTTCATGACCCCACACAACCGTGGGAGGGTTGTTCAAGACCCCACACAACCGTGGGAGGGTTGTTCATGACCCCACACAACCGTGGGAGGGTTGTTCATGACACCACACAACCGTGGGAGGGTTGTTCAAGACCCCACACAACCGTGGGAGGGTTGTTCAAGACACCACACAACCGTGGGAGGGTTGTTCATGACACCACACAACCGTGGGAGGGTTGTTCAAGACACCACACAACCGTGGGAGGGTTGTTCAAGACCCCACACAACCGTGGGAGGGTTGTTCATGACCCCACACAACCGTGGGAGGGTTGTTCATGACCCCACACAACCGTGGGAGGGTTGTTCATGACCCCACACAACCGTGGGAGGGTTGTTCAAGACACCACACAACCGTGGGAGGGTTGTTCATGACACCACACAACCGTGGGAGGGTTGTTCATGACACCACACAACCGTGGGAGGGTTGTTCAAGACACCACACAACCGTGGGAGGGTTGTTCAAGACCCCACACAACCGTGGGAGGGTTGTTCATGACCCCACACAACCGTGGGAGGGTTGTTCAAGACCCCACACAACCGTGGGAGGGTTGTTCAAGACACCACACAACCGTGGGAGGGTTGTTCAAGACACCACACAACCGTGAGAGGGTTGTTCATGACACCACACAACCGTGGGAGGGTTGTTCAAGACACCACACAACCGTGGGAGGGTTGTTCATGACCCCACACAACCGTGGGAGGGTTGTTCATGACCCCACACAACCGTGGGAGGGTTGTTCATGACCCCACACAACCGTGGGAGGGTTGTTCATGACCCAACACAACCGTGGGAGGGTTGTTCATGACCCCACACAACCGTGGGAGGGTTGTTCATGACCCCACACAACCGTGGGAGGGTTGTTCATGACCCCACACAACCGTGGGAGGGTTGTTCAAGACACCACACAACCGTGGGAGGGTTGTTCATGACACCACACAACCGTGGGAGGGTTGTTCATGACCCCACACAACCGTGGGAGGGTTGTTCAAGACACCACACAACCGTGCTCACCAACCACCAACTTTATTTCCGGGTGGAACAAAGTGCTCGCCTACAGTAAACTCTGCCTATATAAGCGGAGCAACAGGGTGCACCTGTCCGTACACAAGCCCCTTTTGCGTCTTAATTATTGGTAACGCTTCTAGATATGAATTCCAGTATCTTCTCATATTCCGTACGTTAATAAATAATTTTTGGGGGCATATGATTTTTACTATTCATGTCTCCCAGATTTTTTTGGACATTCAGATATATATAATTTATAACAGTACAGCTAATATCTAACAACTATTATCATTAAAATCCCAGTATTAATTGTCTTGAGGCTATTTTGAGTCTTCTCCAAATTTATTTCCCGCCCTGCCTTAGTATCACCTACTGACCTTGCAAATGTTGTTACTCGGTCCTATAGCTAAGCCAGTTAAGTCACTTATATCTATTAGGCAAACAAGAGAGGTCCCAGGACAGAGTCCGTGGTACTCACTCCACTTACAACGGTTCCCCGCTCGGACAATTCCAATTATACTAGCTCTCTGTTTCCCCTTGAAATAACTATGCTCTAATCCAAGTCAGAATACCCTTATTCCTGGTGCCATGTGTCACTTGCCAGCGAGGCTGGTGAGGACAGGTCACTACAACACGCCGCAATTCCTCTCCTTTGGAGCATAATTCATTGGTTGTATTATCCACATATTTTGTAGGGTTTTACTTCCTGAAGTTTTAACCGATTGTCATTGATAGCATTTATGTCTGCTGAAGCTATTAAGAATTTTGGTGCAATGTTCTGAAGCGGGGATTGTCTTTGTTAAATATAAAATCAACTTTGAAGTGTTAGATAATAATTAATTTTGAAACAAAATGTTATAATCACTTAAAACAAACAATAACACACACACGTCTAAACATGTGTTGATGTTCTTTGTTTATGTGTATACATGAGGTTCCGTGACGCATGCGGCTGGCGTCCTCAACACCACACGCACGATGGCTTCGCCGCCCTAAACAATTGGAAGACCTTTAGAACTTTGTGGAGTGCAGCGTCCAGTCTAACCCCACTCCCCAAAAATAGGCAGATGTGCAAGTTCTACTAACTTGCGAATGATCTAATCCAACCCCCACTGAACCCAATTAAGATGTGGGGAGAACCTAATCCATCCCTACTGAACCTGAATAGGATGTGCAAAGAACCTAATCCAACCCAACTGAACCTGACTAGGATGTGCGAAGGACCTAATCCAACCCTACTGAACCTGACTAGGATGTGCGAAGGACCTAATTCAATCTCACTGAACCCGACTAGGATGTGTGGAGGGCCTAATCCAACACCCACTGAACCCGACAAAAGTGACGTGTGAAGCGTTGCTCGTCCCACCTCCAATGGCGTTGACGATGGCTTCTCTGGCCTTGTGGACGCCCCGGGTGAAGGAGGTGAGGTCCGGCCTCCGACGAGCGCCTCGGTGGAAGAGTACCAGCGACCGCTCGAACTCCCCCATACCGTAGAGCGCCTCCGCCTGCACCAGTACCGCTGTGGAAGACAGTAGGTGGGTGACGGTGTCTTACAGTGAGTGACGGTGTCTTACAGTGAGTGACGATGTCTTACAGTGGATGACAGTGTCTTACAGTAGATGACGATGTCTTACAGTGGATGACGATGTCTTACAGTGGATGACGATGTCTTACAGTGGGTGACGATGTCTTACAGTGGATGATGGTGTCTTACAGTGAATGACGGTGTCTTATAGTGAGTGACGATGTCTTACAGTGGATGACGATGTCTTACAGTGGATGACAGTGTCTTACAGTGGATGACAATGTCTTACAGTGGATGACGATGTCTTACAGTGGGTGACGATGTCTTACAGTGAAAACCTTCTCAGGACGAGAAAGTGATACGGACCGGCCTTCGCCGCTCCCTACGATTAAGTGGGTTAAATGAGTCGTAAAGTGAGGTGAACCCACACTTATAAATGTACAGATTTTTCCCAGTAAGCTGTGGTACAATACAATACAATTGTATTGTACCAGTAAGCTCAGTATAGCTGTGTCAGTTCAACAGAGTGTTCTCCTGAAGATGTCACATTGCTGACCAAACATCGAACAATACAAATGGAAATATTAAGTGATCTAGTGTTCCTTTAACATTCAGATGGTAGAAGATATTTGCGTAGAATGGAAATTATCCAAAAGATGATTAATAATACTCACAGTGCTGTAGTGTTTATATATATATATATATATATATATATATATATATATATATATATATATATATATATATATATATATATATATATATAAATAAACATATTTGGGAAGGGAGATAAATATAAGAGCTACATATACAATATTGGTACTATACACCTATATTCGTGTTGTACTATGGCATGGCTTAGAAAGTACTTTCAGAGATGAGGCAGTGTTGCTACTTATGGCGCTGCATATTGTTATAGACATGACAAGTGATCACGAAGAGTGTAAATTGCTAACCCTTAACAAGTGAGGGGTCCATCTTGAGGGCTCCTCGGGCATCTTCCAGGGCCTCCTGCAGGTGTCCCAGCAGCAGGTGACAGCGGCCTCTCACCACCAGGGAGGCTGGGTCACCTCCGCTCTCCACCGCCTGTCACGGGTCCAGGCAGGCCGGCGTCGGTGGCACGGATACAAGGGTAATGGTAACGAAAGTCATAACAGATAAAAGATAACCTTGTCATAAGGTCCAGTCTCTGATGTACCCTCTCTCTCTCTCTCTCTCTCTCTCTCTCTCTCTCTCTCTCTCTCTCTCTCTCTCTCTCTCTCTCTCTCTCTCTCTCTCTCTCTCTCTCTCTCTCTCTCTCTCTCTCTGCCTCTCTCTCTGCCTCTCTCTCTGCCTCTCCCTCTCTCTCTCTGCCTCTCTCTCTGCCTCTCTCTCTCTCTCTCTCCTATTTTTGGTAAATTAACACTATAATTCAAAAGTACCAAAATATATGTACTCATAAATACAAATATTTGTTACCTAACTCACTAGATGACTGCTAGCCATAATCTAGACACTGAAGTATTTCCTTATATGTTTATTGCATATATGTCACTTCCATTCCCATAGCTATACATCACTAGCAATCCCATAGCTGTACTTCTTCACTACTCACAAAGCTGTGCATCACTAACACTCTCATAGGTGTACGTCACTAACACTCTCATAGGTGTACGTCACTAACACTCTCATAGGTGTACGTCACTAACACTCTCATAGGTGTACGTCACTAACACTCTCATAGGTGTACGTCACTAACACTCTCATAGGTGTAGGTCACTAACACTCACATAGGTGTACGTCACTAACACTCTCATAGGTGTACGTCACTAACACTCTCATAAGTGTACGTCACTAACACTCCCATAGATGTACGTCACTAACACTCACATAGGTGTACGTCACTAACACTCCCATAGATGTACGTCACTAACACTCACATAGGTGTACGTCACTAACACTCACATAGGTGTACGTCACTAACACTCTCATAAGTGTACGTCACTAACACTCCCATAGATGTACGTCACTAACACTCACATAGGTGTACGTCACTAACACTCCCATAGATGTACGTCACTAACACTCACATAGGTGTACGTCACTAACACTCCCATAGGTGTACGTCACTAACACTCTCATAGGTGTACGTCACTAACACTCCCATAGGTGTACGTCACTAACACTCTCATAGGTGTACGTCACTAACACTCACATAGGTGTACGTCACTAACACTCTCATAGGTGTACGTCACTAACACTCCCATAGGTGTACGTCACTAACACATAGGTGTACGTCACTAACACATAGGTGTACGTCACTAACACTCCCATAGGTGTACGTCACTAACACATAGGTGTACGTCACTAACACTCTCATAGGTGTACGTCACTAACACATAGGTGTACGTCACTAACACATAGGTGTACGTCACTAACACATAGGTGTACGTCACTAACACATAGGTGTACGTCACTAACACTCCCATAGGTGTACATCACTAACACTCCCATAGGTGTACGTCACTAACACATAGGTGTACGTCACTAACACATAGGTGTACGTCACTAACACATAGGTGTACGTCACTAACACTCCCATAGGTGTACGTCACTAACACTCCCATAGGTGTACGTCACTAACACATAGGTGTACGTCACTAACACATAGGTGTACGTCACTAACACTCCCATAGGTGTACGTCACTAACACATAGGTGTACGTCACTAACACATAGGTGTACGTCACTAACACTCCCATAATGCAGCATCCAATCTATCCCAAAGATAAACTTTGTGGGAAATTTTTACCCACTAAATCTGTATTATTATCTATGAAATGTATTATTTCTATATCATATTTATATCATAACAAAATCATATCAATATCATATCAGAATCACTACAGATTCATTATACATCTGGATCCTACAAGACAATGCCACCTATGATCACGTACGACCATAGGGCCCTTGGTTGCCTACGTGACATTTTGCATGATTTCTCAAGGATCCAGAAGCTTCTAGAAGGATTTTTTAATTAAAAAACTATTGGAACAATAGAATCAATTTCCGGTAGGGATTAAATCAAATCCTTAATAAGAATCAATAGTACTATCAAGTACTACTTATAATCTTTATATCCTTTATCTAATAATTTTATAATCACATATTATCTCAATCATATGTCTAGACAGTAAAAATAATCAATCAATACTCATTGAAGGCTACCTTGCTCAGGGAGCATGGGGGGGGGGGGGGGACGATGGCTGGGAGAGAAGCGCCCACCACACCCCGAGCCAGAACGCGTGTGTTTACAACAGTGCAAACGTGTGACGGTGTCTTGCGAACAATTATTCAGCTTAGGACACCTTATCCAATTATCTTTATCACCAGTGATTACTCTCTAGAACTGGGGGAGTACCTGGACAATATATCTACAAGGAAAAATTCCTAGAACATATTTAAATAAGTGTACAGTGGAGCACACAAGGTATTGCTGTCTCCACCTCCATCATCATCACTTATCTAACCTATTGCAACCGCAATAGGTTAGATTAAGGACATAATCAATTAGCAACACTACTAGAACATTATACAGCAAAGCTGTGAGCTCACACTACACCCTCGGAGCTCACACTACACCCCGGTGATCACACTACACTCCCGGAGCACACATTACACCCTTGAAACACACACTATACCCTCGGAGCACACACCACGCCCCCGGAGCACACACACCACGTCCCCTGGAGCACCCACCTTCTGGGCACAGGAGAGGGCTGTCTCCACCCTTCCCATGGTAATGGCTCGCTGGGCCTCCGTCAGGTGGACGGAGGAGTAAGTGTCCTCTGGTTGCACCACGCGTCGCTCCTTCTTCCTTTTGACCTGCTGGACGGGCAAACATTAGAGCTCCAGTACCTGGAGCGCTCGGCCGATATGCACATGAGCAGAGCCCTGGGAAACGTGGCCGCCATGCTCCCCCGGGGCTGGTCTCCTGGGAGACCAAAGCCTTCCCTCATCCTCCCACTGATCTTCCCAGGGGGTTCACGGAGACTAGGTTCCGGCAGGCTGATCGCCGCCCACATGCAGACCAGCCGAGAAATGAGCCCAAGGCAGAGGAAAGGATTGGGAGTCATATTTTCTAATGTTGAATTTTAGCAGTGGTTTAAAACTGTCTTAAGTGATTATTATGCATTAAAAGTTTCTAGTATCTATTTTATTTGAGATATCTCATTTCTATAATATTTAGCGTTAGTTCTACTTAATCGTTAGTTTATCTTAAGCAGCTTTATAGAAGGGAAAAAGTGTTGTCTTTTTTTTATAAAAAGCAATTATTGTCATAAGGGGGAAATGGACAGTGAAGAAGAAGTTGGTGATGTTAAGGATTCACATTTTCCCAAAATTCATTAGAAAGCTAAATTATTAACCTCTGAGCAGAAATTCATCAAGATATTCCAAATTTTATAATACAAAGTGGAAGATAAGAATGTGAATCTTCAACACTAACCCTGAGGTCTGAACACATACCCATCCAAGAACATCCCACAACATGTTGGTGCCAGGATACATACAACATACAACATACCATGCAGACGATAGGACATACCAGCATACACGCACATACACAGTAGACATACACGTCACGACAGGACAATGGCACAAGGAAACAGTGATGAGTGGCCAAAAGTAGCAGCAGTCTTGGCAAAGTGGTTGAGTATGTCGTCGCTTCTCAATCGGTGTGGAATAATGTTGCTCGTTCTTTTGATTATTTAATACGGATATAATTTTACATTTAAGCTATTTTTTCAATACATGTGACGTATTGCTCCGTATGTGGACAAATTTATTTATGCACGTAAAGGTATCGCACTTATTATTATTATTTTTACACCTGCCCGAGCGCCGAACTGTTTAGCGAAGTTTGCGCTATAAGCGATCCATTTTCTGTAACACTCAACAGTTCCAGTTTATAAACACAAGCTGTGACTGTACAACTGACTGTCCCGAGTGTGGCACGGGGGCAGTGCAAGCTACTTGACTTGCCAGTGATGAAATAAACTAACTCATGGCCTACTTCACTGTCAAGTGATGTAGGCCGTGATGTTTCTTGAACGATGTACTATGGATGTATATATCAAACACTGCATTGAGCAGTGTGTGCAATGAGCTTTTATATATATATATATATATATATATATATATATATATATATATATATATATATATATATATATATATATATATATATATATATATATTTGATGGAAACATTCTTTCGGGAAATATGATGAGAAAGTGAGAGTTAACATGTTGCAGACGAGCATTACTGAAATGTCTCTTAACGAGAGGTGACGAGAACAGATTGTGCACACAAGCTGTAATGGCGGTATGGTGCTGCCACACTGTGTTGCGTGACACAGGTGGGGGGGGGGGCTGCCACACTGTGTTGCGTGACACAGGTGGGGGGGGGGGCTGCCACACTGTGTTGCGTGACACAGGTGGGGGGGCTGCCACACTGTGTTGCGTGACACAGGTGGGGGGGCTGCCACACTGTGTTGCGTGACACAGGTGGGGGGGCTGCCACACTGTGTTGCGTGACACAGGTGGGGGGCTGCCACACTGTGTTGCGTGACACAGGTGGGGGGGGCTGCCACACTGTGTTGCGTGACACAGGTGGGGGGGCTGCCACACTGTGTTGCGTGACACAGGTGGGGGGGGCTGCCACACTGTGTTGCGTGACACAGGTGGGGGGGGCTGCCACACTGTTTTGCGGGACACAGGTGGGGGGGGCTGCCACACTGTGTTGCATGACACAGGTGGGGGGGGGGCTGCCACACTGTGTTGCGTGACACAGGTGGGGGGGGGGGGGCTGCCACACTGTGTTGCGTGACACAGGTGGGGGGGGGGCTGCCACACTGTGTTGCGTGACACAGGTGGGGGGGGCTGCCACACTGTGTTGCATGACACAGGTGGGGGGGCTGCCACACTGTGTTGCGTGACACAGGTGGGGGGGGGGCTGCCACACTGTGTTGCGTGACACAGGTGGGGGGGGGGGCTGCCACACTGTGTTGCGTGACACAGGTGGGGGGGCTGCCACACTGTGTTGCGTGACACAGGTGGGGGGGGGGCTGCCACACTGTGTTGCGTGACACAGGTGGGGGGGGCACACTGTGTTGCGTGACACAGGTGGGGGTTGCCACACTGTGTTGCGTGACACAGGTGGGGGGGCACACTGTGTTGCGTGACACAGGTGGGGGCTGCCACACTGTGTTGCGTGACACAGGTGGGGGCTGCCACACTGTGTTGCGTGACATGGTATTGATCCGTGGCAGACGGATCTGCCACGCGGTATTACGTTAGTTACCAATCCTCTAATCACCAGACAGAACTACAGTAGAGACGGGAGGCGCACATCATGCGGTCACTCCTCCTGCCTCCAACTGACGCCCACCTTCCAACCAATATAGCCCACCTAACCTAGAGAAACCAATGCCTTTTTGCTTGTGGAAATGTACATAACGATCTATTTCAACCTGAGGACAGGTGGAACACAACCTCCCTCCCAAGATGTAGAACAGGACCCCTGAAATCCAAGACGAGGTATCTAACCAAGACCTTACAGTGATGTCCAGCAGAGTAATGATGACCAAATGGTACGCTCTTCCCGGTGTCACTTTATATTGCAAACCCCCCTGAGTGCCACGAGTCTTCTTCAACATGTCCAGAAACATCCACATCTAACCTTACATATAAAATCTTATAATAATTTGATTTTCACAAAGTCTTCATAGTCTAAAAGTAAATCACATAAATTTGTTAACTAGAGAGAACGAAGACTCAAAAGTAAGTCAAATCCTCATTGAAATTTCCTTAGATTTTATCGCTTGTCTTTGGTGTTGGTACCCCACCATTCAAGTATCATACACACCCGTTACCAAGAAAGGTAAGGAGAATCTTGCTCTTCTCAAAGCTGTCACACTTGAAACAATTGCCTCCTCCATCGAAAATTTAAGATCTCACGAGCACTGCGTCTACACCGACGGCTCAGTCCAATCTTCTACTGCACGGACTGCAGCAGCATGTTGGTTTTATAGAAATAATATTTGCGCACAGACTGTCAGTGTCAGGTTAAACAACTGGCTGACCTCCATACAAGCAGAACTAGGGGCACTACAACTACCTACCAGTACATTAAAAAACATTGGAGGAGGAATAATATTTTGTGATTCAAAGTCTGCTCAACACATTATCGAAAACTTATCCAGAAAAATCGACAGCATGAACCTCATACTCCCAATTATAAATGACCTAATCGCTGCACAGAGTAAAACGTATTGGAATTTCCTTTGTATGGACACCATCACACAAATATAACCCATCATAATGAGACAGACATTGCAGCCAAATTAGCGTTTAACAAAAATAAAGTTGAATTAGATCTAGGTATCCCCATCTCTACTGTCAAGCCTATATTGTTCCAAACACTCAGGTCTGATAGGAGAGACATTACTTACTCCCAACGACCTGAAAGCACCAGTATAAAAAACTAATTTATTCAGATCTGAAACCTATATTTATGAGCAGCACAAAACGTCCACCAGACTGTGCGACACAGTGGTTGCCAGGATCAGGTTGGGTTAGCGTTCCTTGTAGCAGGTGGCTGCAGGTGACGGATCTCCCAATCCTGAGCACTCAAGGTGCAAACTCTGTGAGCAGGAACTGGCGCATGATCTCCCACACTACATCACCGAATGATCAGGTATCAGACCATTTATATCCGTTGGCATGAGGTACTTAGAGCTTTGTAATTACTTTATTCTCTCTCGTGTTCTTGAAGATATCCTCATAATGCACCCAAAATTTGTCAGTGCAGGCGCCTGAACGTATAGCCCTGTATGACTAACTACCCTGCGAGATGGGGACTTTTAGTACCACTGCTGCCTTATTCACTCTTGTGTTGATGATATCCTCATAATGCACCCAGAGTCTGTCAGTGCAGACTACTTATCACATGCTTCTGTATGACTAACCTTCCTATGTGATGGGGATTTTAACATCACGCAGCTAGCTTTTTGACACGCTGTACTCCCCTTCATATAGTCTAGGGCAGCTGCACAAATGCAGATGTACCTAAATGTGTTACTAATAATAAAAAAAAGTGCTAAATCTTCATTTAAATCCCAATATCTTCAAATTTTAAAAGAAAACTTTGGGGTGTCTCACCCCTGAAAATAATACATGGTTACACAAGCAGTGTTGGCAGACTGTGACTGGTGCGGCGGCCACGTCCCTCACTAACAGTGTTAAGGTAGGTAATGATAGATATATATATATATATATATATATATATATATATATATATATATATATATATATATATATATATATATATATATATATATATATGTCGTACCTAGTAGCCAGAACTCACTTCTCAGCCTACTATGCAAGGCCCGATTTGCCTAATATGCCAAGTTTTCATGAATTAATTGTTTTTCGACTACCTAACCTACCTAACCTAACCTAACCTAACTTTTTCTTCTACCTAACCCAACCTAACCTATAAAGATAGGTTAGGTTAGGTTAGGTAGGGTTGGTTAGGTTCGGTCATATATCTACGTTAATTTTAACTCCAATAAAAAAAAATTGACCTCTTACATAATGAAATGGGTTGCTTTATCATTTCATAAGAAAAAAATTAGAGAAAATATATTAATTCATGAAAACTTGGCTTATTAGGCAAATCGGGCCTTGCATTGTAGGCTGAAAAGTGAGTTCTGGCTACTAGGTACGACATATATATATATATATATATATATATATATATATATATATATATATATATATATATATATATATATATATATATATATATAATATATATA